GGAGGAGGAGGATGTGGGGCCCGCCGCGGGGAGGGCTGGCTCTGAGGAGAAGGCTGGAGGAGGAGGAGGAGGAGGAGGAGGAGGTGGTGGAGGAGGAGGAGGTGGAGGAGGAGGTTGGGCCCGCCGCGGGGAGGGCGGGCTCTGAGGAGGAGGCTGGAGGAGGATGAGGAGGAGGAGGAGGAGGATGAGGAGGAGGTGGATGTGGGTGAGGATGAGGACCAGTGCAAACCCGTGACTCATCGACGATGTTCAAATACACCCTCCTTTCAAGATCCGCATTCGTGGCCCCTGACCATGGATCATGTCCACTGAGGCATTTGTCCCATTTGGGGACAAACGTGTGCACATCATCTTACAGGGTGCCAGAATACCCTGATCAGGACTTCAACGCCAAATTAACCTGACTGTTACGTCTTGGCTATCGTGATTCGTGCCATACACCAATCCTGGGACGTCAACACCGCGAATCATCGTAAGTGTTGCGCCCTGACAATCTGGAGTCGTTCCAAAACGCCGCATTTTGTGCGGTAGCCGTGAGAACCAGTGAAACCCCTTGCAACTGGTTCAAACGAATGTGCGCGGCTCTAAAGCGAGAGCCACATTTTGAACAGGAGCCGCCCTCGATCCGTGAAGCTCTGTTTTTTTTAAACGAACGTGCGCGGCGCTGAGGCGAGAGCCACACTATATGGAAAGGAAACGCCCTCAATCCGTGACGCTCTTGCAATCTGTTCCAACGAATGTGCGCGGGGCTAAGGCGAGAGCCACAGCTTGAAACCGAACCGCCCTCAATCCGTGAAACTTTTGCAATTTACTAAACCGAACGTGCGCGGCGCTAAGGCGAGAACCACAGTTTGAACAGGAATCGCCTCAATCCGTAAAGCTCTTGCAACGTGTTACATACATGTGTTGCGTCGCTAGTGCGAGAGCCACGTTTTGAACATCACCCGGGGTCAATCCGTGAAACCCGTGCAATTGTTTAGAGCGAATATGCACGGCACCAAATCGAGAGCCACGTTTTGAATA